CATGTGCCTTGAGGTCCAAGGAATCAATGTAAATTTCAGATTATGGTTGCATTTTCAATCTTTAATATTTTTCATAGATGATGAGTTTATAGTCTTTCCATCTTTTGGAGTCATTTCTATTCACTGTTTAAGGATCTGTCTCAAATGTATTATAGTATCTGTTGTTACCCCCTCTCTCCAGTTTAATCATTTTCTGAAAACATGGAAAGGCATATAACATGGAAGAAGTATTTTGAATATATGCTCTGAGAAGTAAGACCATGGAGTCACAGTTTTAAGTATATGGTTAGGTGTTTGGAGGTTCTTACTTAATCTTAATTCCAAATTTTTAACTTAGAAATTCAGATGACTAAGATAATTAAAGAGATTCCTAGGGATTCAGGAAAGACTATTTCTTTGGACCAGCTAACCCATTTGTTTAGTAGAAACAAGCAAACAAAAAATTTGTTAGGATGTATGACCTGCATTTAGTAATTTAAATATTTATTATTTTCAATAATGGTTTCCAATAGAGTTTAGGACCACACTTGCTGTAGGCAAGCCCTTGCAATGCTTGACTTTTTCTCTTCTGTTTTATGGTCATTGTCCAATCTTCTATAACTAAGTGGCAAAATGTCAGCGTTTGTGTTTATTAAGGTCCATTTGCTGTTGAGAAAGAAATTAAAATGCTTTGTAAGATTTAAAAATATACAGGGTACAAATATATGAAGAAAACATTCTTTTGTCTTAACAATTTAAAGGGAAAATGTGTATATATGTAAAAGTCGCAGAACCAAATTTTTGAACTTGAAATAGTTTTGCAAATTTTCATGGCAAAACTGATTTATGTGGCTTGAACATTTCTCATTTTTACTTTCTTATTTCACAAACTTTGTCAGTTTTTAACTAAAGATGTGCTCGGAAACTCAGTGTGCTAATAGGCAAAGTTGGCCTTTCCTATGCTTCCCTTCAAATAGCCCATTCTGAAACAGTGACCTTTTAGTTTAATAACAGTTTTATTTGAGAAAATGTTCAGATCCTAAGAGCTGGAAAGTGTTTTCAAAAAGGCCATTTTAAAATAGTGGTCTCCAAATGGTGTATCATTTTCCCTTATGCAGTTTGGATCAGACCTATCAGAAGAAATGTATTGTTGGTTTCTGTATTTTATTGATTTAAAAACAACATGAAGTTTAGATCTGCTCAAAACCCATTACTACGTGGCTCATTTTCCTGCCTGTGCTTTGACTTGCTATTTTAAACTCTTTATGCTAGGTCATGTTTTTATCTTTTGTTATTTTAAAATCGTAATCCTAGCTAAGGTGATTACTTTTTCAGGTGTGACCTTGGGGTTGAGACCTAAAGTTGTAATTTTTTTTTTTTTAAATAGGGCATTAGAAAGACCGCTGTATGTTATTCCTTTTACTGATGAGAAATGATAACACCCAATTTATTTACCCACATGGGCATTATTCCTGGAGCTTTCTTGCCCTTTTTGTTGCTTTTGCTTTCCTGTTCCCATTTTTCTGGCTTCCCTTGTGGTCTATCTTGATGGTGTTCCTTATTGATGCTCTTTATCTACACTGGGTCTCTCCTTACCCCACAGGAGGTGACAGGGCTAAGGACTGGCAGAAGGGAATGGGAAGCAACAGCAGACTCTGAGTTGGATTTCTTTCTCCCCACATCACTGCTTCTGCCCAGTCTTACCTGCATGGTTTTCTTTTCATCATTTAAGCCAGTTACTTTTTGTTAATTGTGTCCTTACCATTCTGTTCCTCGTTGATCACATCTGAGTAATAATCTCATTGTTCATTTGACTTTTCCTTTATATAATGGACATAAAACATACTTTGAAGATACAACATTAAGCTAAATAAGATAAAGCAGATGTCATAAGACAAATATTGCATGATTTTACTTAAACATAGCATCTAAAATGTTGAACTCAGAAGTAGAGGGTAGAACAGTGGTTGCCAGAGGCTTTGGACGGGGAGAGGGATGGGAAGTATATTGGTTGAAGGATATAGACTTTCAGTTATAAGACGAGGGAGTTCTGGGGGTACAGAACTTATATTTGACTTTGTTTTATAATATTTTATTGAGATATGATAAGCAGCTTTTAGATGTTTTCACTCCACACATATGCAAATGATAACTAAGTGTGGTGATATGCAAATTTGATTGTGGTAACCATTGCATAGTTTGCACACTTTGAATATGTATGATTTTTCTGTTTAGTTTTTTAAATTATTTTTGGTATTGGGGATCAAACTCAGGACCTTGCACTTGCAAGGCAGGCACAGTGCCACTGAGCCAAATCCGAAACCCTCTGTCTGCTATACTTTAGTAAAGATGAGAGGAAATGCCAAACATCACAAAAAGAAGAGCAGACTTTTATCATCGCACTTAGAAAAGTGATCTCATTGCTTCATACTTAGGTATGGTATACTGAAGACTTATAAAAGCCTAGTTTTAATTGAGTTAAGTAGATTTTGATCAAGAATGTTGAATTTTGCTCAAGAAAAATTTTTCTATTTGAATTAATTGGGGAGAACTGCTTATATAGATTAAGTTTTGCTTTTACTGGAGCTACTTTGTACAATATGAAAAAAATGTGACACAGTTTTACTTGTTTCGAGTAGATTAAACTGTGAAAAGTATTTCCTTGTGGAGTGCATAGTTCAGTATTCATAGCTAGCAAGCCCACACTTGTGTCCTATTTTTGGATGAGGAAACCAAAGTTCAGGGAGATTAGATTACCCAAAATCTGGCTAGTGGGAAAATAAACTGTGGAGGCTGTTTTTTTTTTTTTGAGGTATTACCTACCACCTGCAATTTTTCTGCTATTATTTGCATTGTTTGAAAACATTTATTAATGAACTCTTTATGATTTGCTTGAATGCAAATAGAATGCTGTAGCGTGTTTTTCTAGAGTTTGTGTGACCTTTTCAAAGTAGAGAGTTGTGTATTATTCATGTTACAAACTATGAAGTGAGAGAGAAGCAAAATGGAAGCATTGAGTAGTGTTGGAAGGGACATTAGAGAACAGCCTTTTGAGAAAATTGCTACTCGCAGAGGTCAGTAACGTTTCTAAAGTCCCCTGAATTATTGATGGCCTTTCCAGGATTAGACTGTAACTGTAGTTTCCTCTATGTCTTGATTTCCCTATCCATTGTTTTCTTTTTACTTTCTTTCTCCCCCTCTTTTGCTTTTTCCTCCTTGTTTGCCTTTTTTCCTTTTATTAAAATTATTGAAATGCTATAAAATGCACCTGTTTAATGTATGTAGTTTAGTGGTTTTTAGCATATTTATAGTATTACGCAGCTATCACAATCTAATTTTAGAATGCTTTCACCACTGTAAAAATAAATTATATATCCATTAGCAGCTCTTCCTCTTCCTCCTCCTTCTCCTCCTCCTCCTCCTCCTCATCACTGTCCAACTTTACCTTTGTTCCACCCCAGGCAATGACTTATGTGATTTTTCTATAGATTTGCTCTTTTGCTCTTTTAGACATTTCATATGAATGGATGCATATAATGTATAGTTTTATGTGTCTGACTTCTTCATTTGGCATAATAGAGGTTCATCCACGTTGTATGTATCAGTACTTCATTCTTTTTTATGGTTGAATACTGTTAAACTGTGATAGCAGATTTTATTTATCCATTCATCACCTGATGAGCATTTAGATTGTCTCCATTGCTGGGATATTGTGACTAATTCTGTTATAAACATTTATGAACATTTTTTGGGTTGTATAGATGTGTTTTAGGTTTAATATATGTAGTTCTTGAGAATGGAATTGCTGGGACATATTGTAACCTTGTGTAGTATTTTAAGGAATGGCTAAACTGTTTCCACAATAGCTATGTGATTTTTCACACCAGCAGTGTATGAGGGTTCCAGTTTCTCCATATCTTCACCAGCACTTGTTATTGTTTGTCACCTCCCTTGAAGTGGCATGTCGTTGTGGTTTAAATTTGCCTTTTACTTATGACTAATGAGGTTGAGCAACTTTTTCATGTGCTTATTGGTCATTTGTATGTATGTGCTTTTGAGAAATGCCTAATTTGTCCTTAGCCCAATTTTAATCAGGTTGTTTTTTTATTCTATAACTGTAAGAGGGTTTTGTTTTGTTTTGTTTTTTTTGTTTTTTCACCTTGTTGTTAATCTGTACAATTGTGTGCTCTGGATACAAGTCTGTCAGCTGCATAATTAGCCAATATTTTCTTCCATTCTTTGGGTTATAGTTTCACCTTCTTGATGGTATTCCAACATATATGGTAAGTTTATAATGAAGAAAGGATACTTTTTATTTATGTCTTTATAGAAGGCCCTTAAGGAAGCAGGTGAAACTTGTCCATTTTATTTACCATCAAAACTGAAAGAGGCTTTACAAAACACGTGGTAACAATCTTCTAATTGGAAAGACCAGATGTTTCAAGTTAAGTCACCAGGTATTTAGGAAGCTTCAGCTGTGTTCTCAGAATTGTTCTGTCTCCAGTTTCTTGCACTTGAATTTTAGCAAATAGTGTTTCTGAATTTTCATAAATCACAAATCATGAAAAAATTAATGTATATACAAATAATCTCTTTGTAATGAATGATTTTTGTTAAATATTGAAGTGAGTAGATTTTGGTGCTTTTTTCTTCTCTAATTTCCTTAAGGTTAGATTGACCTACCCTTACATGTGATTGTCAGACTTTAATACTAGTGCAGCATTTTAAAGAATTTGTTCTTCTTGTCTTAGCCCCCACAGGTTAGTAAGCAGCTCTTTGAATTTATTATAAATTCTGACAGGTTTGGAAATTTCTAGGTCACCAGGGAACTCTTGATTAAATTACTCCTAAGTGCACTAATTGGTCTTTTCCACAGTGCCTAGGAATTTCCAGGGAGACACTGACCACCTGACAAAAGTTCCCATTCACTTGTGTCTCAGCTTTGTCTTCTTGAGCATTTTCCTGGTTTTGCTTTTAGGAAGGTGCTTATTTTATCTCCTTCTGCTCTTTGCTGATTCTAGTTTCTGATGAAGAATTAAAAAGAAGAGTGGCTGAAGAATTGGCATTGGAGCAAGCCAAGAAGGAATCTGAGAATCAGAAGCAGTGAGTTTCATAGTATCTTGAAGAGATTTTGGTGCAATTATTATATGTATCAGATATTTTTAGAGAAGAATGATTGTAGTATGATATTATTTATATATGACTGAACTTCAAAATGTGCTAAACATACAAACTTGGCCAGTTTTGGTTTTGAATTCTGCTTATTAAACCCCTATGTTTTCTTCTTTGCAAATTAAATTAACATTTTATCTTTTAATAGTTCTTAGTTAAGTGGGCTCTGAGCTTTGTTTTCTCCATATATCAGGTCTATATTGATGATTCCTCAGTAATTTCTAAATCTAATAAGAATGTATTTTAAAACTAAAAATTAAATTACCTGCTTTTATATATTATATAATTTTGCAGCTAATGATGAACATCATATGTCATACATAGTACCTGAATAAATAGCACTAATTAGTATTGTACTCACTTAAAAATGTTACAGAAATTTGTAAAGTTGAAAATCAAAATACTCTAATTCCATTTTGTAATCATTACTCTTAACACTTATTTAACACTTATTTTGGATTTTTTTCTCTGTATATGCTTCCATTTTATTATTGATTTTATTATTAATTATAGGATAGTTAAGAGTGTTCATTGAAGTTTTATAATGGTATAAACAGGAAGTAATCCAAATGACTATCCTAGAGGACTGGTTAAATGAGTTATGGTACAGGCCTACATTGGAAAATTAGATAGTCAAGTAAATCCTATATCTAACCCAATAAATTGTTGAAGGGCTATGAACTAAAAAAAAGCAATATGTAGAATGGCAAAGATAGTGTGTGTGTGTGCGTGTGTGTATATTTAAACTACTTCTTTTTAAAGACAAAGTTTATACTTATGCATAAAAATGTGAGCATACATTTTAATCCAAGATAGTCAAGTGCTTCCCATCTGTTCTATTTCTGACATTTGCATATAGCACAGAGCATTCTGGTTATATGGTCATATGGAATGTCTTTTTACTGTGAGCACTAGACACATGCCTACCTCTAAGTAGATTGTTAGTATGTATTCTTTATTTTGTTTTGTTTTGGACTGCCTGGCTATTTTGTTTGAGAGCAGTAACATAGAGAATCTTTGAATTGGATTATAGTCCTCACTGGCCATAGGTTCTTTAACATATAATTTATCCTTTTTGGGCTTGAAGTATTTCATCCCCAAAATAAAGGGTTTGAAAAATGTTCTCATATATGTTTTTTCTTTTGGCAAATTGCTAAGCTAACTCACAATTTGCACAAAATGTATGGATCAGAATTTAAGTTATAGATTAGGACTACCATTTTCTTAGGAAGTAGAGAAGGCTTATGACTTAGGTTTTAAAAAATCAAGATATAATTAGTATTGCCAGAGGGTCTGTGTGTATTTCAGTAGTTTCACTTATAGTGTTTTATAATTATTTAATTGGGTTTGGTTGATTTGAGTATATAATTAGTGCAGTTTAAATATTAAAAAAATTCAAATCATTTTCATTAAGAAGAAAACAAACATGTTATGGTAGGATTTTTTGTCTTTGAAATTTTATTATTTTTAATTCAACTTTATTTTAATAAGAATTTTTTGGTTATACTCAGATTTACTTTATTTCACATAGGTTTTGCTTTGTTTCCTTTCTCTTATTAGTGTAGGGTTTTTGTTAAGATAACTATTATTGGTTTTGTGTGTGTGTGTGTGTGTGTGTGTGTGTGTGTGTGTTTCCTTCATTATTCAGCTCCTGTTTGCTCTGCCTTGGTCCATGATAAAGAAAGGGAAGATGAGATGAATAAAGGTGCCAGTGAGAGCCAATTTCATATCTCATTTGGAATGGGCTTGGCAGCCTCGCTCTAACCTGGAAAAATGACTATTGATAAAGAATTTATTTTCTGTCACCAGTAAGGAGAGTAGAGGGTGGCACAACCTTTATATTATTTTTTTCTTTTTAAAAAAGTGTTTTGTTTGAGGCCTGTTCAAGAAAACTTGCAGCTGTCAAATCTTGGCAAAAAGTCTGTGTTCATTTATGTGATAGTTCTTAGAAGAATCAACAGATATTTTTTCTTTCTTTTCTTTTTTTTTGCACCAGAGAAGGAACCTTAGAAAAAAGCATTAGGAAAGTTTTATGTTCAGTCTTTTAAAAGCAACTTTTTGGAGTGACAGAGCATTTGAACATCATTGTGTCTGTTGCCTATATTTCAATAAAGACTTGCAAGCAGTTTTAGAAAATGTCTCTTTGTGCCATTGCACTGTCACTTGTACATGCCGTGCTTACCAAGCCTTCCTGTTTTCACTTCAGATGCACACAGAACCGTCAGCTAGTTCTCTTGGATGTAAGATCTGAACACGTGCATGCATAAATAGAAGTTTTGAATACATTTCTTTGAAAAGAACTTTGGAATTCATTTTGCTTGTGATATTTTCTTTTATAGAATAATTATCAGTGAAAAATTTTAAGAAGTCCTTTTCATTATTTTTAAAATTCACATATAAAAAAGACTAACTGTACATATTTATGGGGTAGCGTGTGATACTTCAGTAGGTGTAATGTTCAGATCAGTGAAAGCATATCTGTCTCTTCAAATATCATTTCTTTGTTGTGAAAATATTTGAAATCCCCCCCCTTTTTAGCTTTGTTTAATGTTATCCCTCCTTTTAAAATTCATAGTACATTATGGGTTTGCTCAAAACCAGAGAAAAGTACAATGAATCCCATAACATATCACACAGTTTTAACAGCTCTTGTTTTACCTATACCCCCATCCATTCTACCAGGAAAAACAATGACATTTTTAATTGTCTGGTGAACTTTGTGGGAGGGCGAAATCTTGAAATGTGTACTATCTTGTTTCTGTTAGATTCCTTTGGTTGCAAGATTGAAATTTAACTCTGATTAACTTAGGAAGCAAGGAAATTTTAGAAGCATATTAGTTCAAAATAATCAAAAGGAATAGTAGAAAAGTATTAGCTAAGGAAGAACTAGGTACTACTACAACTGTACACCATGGGGAGTATTTCCTCAAAAGGAGATCAGAGTGAGGGCTCCATAACACAGGGGAATGGACAGTGGATGGCTGAATTCTTTTGACTTGAAGATTGTATGGATTTTAAGAGTTTTCGCAAAGAAAAAAATTGCTGCAAATTATAACACAATAGTGTATCTCTTAGGGTTTTCTTATTGAAAGAACTCATCAAGACTGATGTTGGATTTTTAAAAACACATCACTTAATGTATTCATAAAAGGGAAAGAGTAAGCAAAATAAATTGATCAAGGCAATGGTTCTCAACTGGGAGATATATCAGTCTCCAGGGCACATTTGACAATGTTTGGAGACATTTTTGACTGCTATACTTGTCAAATGTTACAGGGGTATAGTGCATAGAAGCCAAGGAAAGTAAATTGCTTAAACTGAAGATATTTCATTAGGCCATTTACAATGTACCCCAACTCCTTTTAAGGTCCCATATTTTAAAGTCTAATGCAGTACTTAGACTATCCCATAGAGGTTTCCCAGTAGGGCCACTGTGACAGCACAGCTATAAGGTTAATGCCTATATATGTTGTATTCTCATTTAAAAAATATATATGGACTTTCCATTGAGCGTATTGTGGATTTATCTTTGATAGAAATCTAGTGATTTGCATAATTAATAAAACTGTGCCCCTCTAGGTTGCCAATGTATTAGAAATGATAGATTTACTTTATTAAACACCTAATATACACAATACGAAGTGCAATAAAAATATACGATGGATTTTCAAGTTAACAATATTTATTACAGCAAAAGACATTGTCATTAATCCCCCTCAGAATACTCTCCCATGCTTTGTACACATTTATCCCATTATTTTTGCCACTTTCAGTTCTAGAAGTCCCCTTTTGTAAGTGTCTTTAAAGGTGTGATAAAAAATACAGTGAATAGGCCGGGTGTGGTGGCACAGGCCTATAATCCCAGCACTCGGGAGGCTGAGGCAGGAGAGTTGCTGTGAGTTCGAGACTAGCCTGGGCTACTTAGTGAGCTCCAGATCAGTCTCAACAACATAGTGAGACCCTGTCTCAAAAAAACAAAAACAAAAAAAAAAATACAGTGAATGCTGTTGAAGAGTGCCATTCAACAGAAAGGCATTACAGTGTGTCCTCATCCACTTGATTCACTGTATCTAGAAATGTGACACTTCTGGCTCTTCTTTAGGGTCAGAAAGACCAAGAAATGTAAACAGTTTGAATTGATTGAAGATACTGAGTCAGACATGACAGCACAGCTAGAGACACAATAAAGGACTTCCAGAACTGCTTGAGAAAGTGGCAAATAAATTGAAATATTTTTTAAAAAATTAATTTTATTGGTACATTTGAGGTATACAATATAATGATATTTCATCATTGGAAATTTGCACCTTTACGTAGTCCATCTTTGTTCCTCCATCCCTTCCTATCTACAAAGACTTTGTTTCCATTTTTTCATTTTCTCATATTAATTTCATTTCCTTCTTTACTTTCCCTTATCCCTGTCCCTCTCATTTCCCCTTCCCCTTTGCCCCTTTTCTTCCTATTTCACAATATCTATTATACCTTTTAGTACTTATTTATACTTTCATTTTCACACACCATAAACTATTAGGTATTTTTACACGTGTGTCCTATTAATTTCACTTAAGAGTATCGCCTCAATGTGCATCCATTTAGCTATAAATGTCTCTATTTCTTATTTTTAATGGCTGAGTAATATTCCATTTTATTAAAAACCCCGTTTCTTTATCCAGCCTCCCATTGATGGGCAGTTGGGCTGCTTCTAAGTTTTAGCTATTACAAATTGTGCTGCTGTGAAAATGGGTGCATATATATTGTAGAGGTATGATTTTTTTAATTCTCTTGGGAAGATACCCAGCAGGGGAATAGCTGGGTCAAATGGGACTTCTAATCCTAGTTCTTTGAGGTATCTCCATACTGATGTCCACAGTGTTTGCACCAGTCTGCTACTCCCACCAGCAGTGGAGCAGGGTTCCTCTTTCCCCACAGCC